TGTGTGTGTCTGTGTTACAGAATATTTAAAATAATTTATTTAAAGTAAGTTAAATGTCACCGTGGTTACTGTCCCCCAGCCGGGGCTGTTTAAATTCAGAGGCTGCATCCTCCTGAGGACACGGCCGGAAGACGCACTCAGAAGCTGCCTGCAGCTCTGTTTAATCTGCACTGGTCACTCCACTTTATTGATATTGATATTTATATCTAAAGTGCAACACTGTGATTTTCTGCTGCTCATTCCTGTGCAACATCCCATCTGCCCTCTGTCATATTTCTTCTCAAGATTTTCTTATTTAATCACTAGTGTACATATATTTATATTTATAGATACATATATATTTATTCATCTTTTCTCTTTTACCACGTCTCTCTAATATTTAGCTCCTTCTATTTTTCTTCTTTTTTTTATTACTTTATTATATTTTATTATATTTTATTATATTTTCTCTACTGTATCCTGCTGCTGAGTGACTGCTGCTCGTCAAACACATTTCATTGCGATGTCGACCCTGTGCTAACTTGCATATGACAAATAAAACTGTAAACTGAAGTGAGCGACGGTGACGGTCTAGCCTCCAGAATTATGTCCTGAACTCGGTGGAGTGAAACTCTGTCTGCTCCTCGCTATCTAACTGTAACTGGACGCTGGTGCAACAATAACATTTTAGGTTGTTTATCATGTTTAACCTGAGCAGTGAAAGACCGCGGGGGGTTGAAGACGATGTGCCGGGAGTTCGCTGCTCTCGCCGGCTCAGGTGCAGCTCAGACAGCTGTGGCTGTAGAGGTTTGTGGAGACGCTGACCTCTGACCTCTGTACACACTTTGCTGCTCTGTTTGTCATCGCAGCCGCTCGTTTCTAATTGTAGTTTACTCATAATATGTTAAAAATGAGGATTATTTATGCTATGCTAACTGGCTAATGAATTATGATTGTCAATCACTGCCAATGAGCAAAGGGCTTTCGTTCCCATGGTGACAGGGACGTAGCTCAGTAACGCCGGCTCTCCGGCGCTCCCTAAACACTGTCCAATCAGAGGCGCAGTAGGCTGGGCCCTATGTCCCAGAATTCCTGTCGAGTCATTTCAAAGTAAAAGCCTCATCTCATGCTAACCGGAAACTCGCACACTGAGTAGTTTGTGTTTGTAAAAGAAACGCTGCTGCACCTTTTATGATCCTCCATCTACAACCTCAGCTCAAACACAGTCATCAGAGGAGGAAATGCATCTCCCCGTCTGTCCACGCCACTATTTTAGGTACACTTAGGCTCTGATGGACCTGTGCAGCCTCACGGTGAAACCTGAGGCGCTCCAACACGTGATTAACACCGCCTCCTCTTCCTCCTGCTCCTAACACCAGTTAGACTTACTCTTCTTTCTTTGTTTCACTGTAATTAGGTCAGCGGCTGCTTTTTGTGGATTAAAGCAGATCTGATTCATCACAGCGCGTTTCTGCAGA